CTTCGCGTGCCTTCCCAGCGCTTCCTCACCAATGCCGCGGAGGAGCGCGAGTGGACGCAGGTGGAGCATCTAGTCAGCAAGGTGTCGGGATCCCGGGATGCAGTGCGGCGGCTGGCTAGAGACACCGATCCGAAATATTTGAACAGTTCGTCGGTAGTGTCTCCGTATGAGCGGCCCCGAGGTCGCTCGCCCAGTCCCCACCCGGAACCCAACGGTGAGGACTACTTTGAGGCGCGCGAGCGGCGTCCATTCTGGAAAAGGAAACCCAGTTCAAACTCGAATCAAGCAACCAAGCGCTCCGCCGCGACGACGACCTCCTCCTCAAACTCGCAACTGGCGGTCCCATCGCCCGCGGCGGATGCGGCTTCCCTCGCCGGCGACCGGAAACCCAGCAGCATTGCCAGCCATCCGGATTATATGGAAGAAATCCATGACCACTTGATGGCTCTCCTGCGAGATCTGGATAACGTAGTCAGTGAATTTTCGACTCTGATCGCCGAGAGCAAACATCGACGGCATCCGCCTGGCATGACGGCACAGTCTCGGCTGAGCATGGAATCTGAGATGTCGCAGGAATTCTTTGACGCCGTTGACGGAGGAAACATGTCGCCATTACTGACCATCAAGGGAGACAGTGACGATGAAGGCGCGGGTGCTGCCGCCCGGCAGGCCGAGGACGAAGTCGTGGCAGATGACGCTCCTTCAGACAGCGAGGAAGAAGTGCCGGAGCCCGTCACGCCCCATGGTGGGGAGAAGGACTCGCCCTTGTTCCCTTCACGCCCCAAATCGCTCGCGCCTCTGCCTCTCAGCCCTGTACCCCGCCGCAGCAATATCACTGCGCCCACAGTCATGCCCCCAAGCCTGATCGGTTTCCTCCGTAAAAACGTGGGTAAAGACCTATCCCAGATCTCGATGCCCGTCTCCGCCAACGAACCGCTCTCGCTACTGCAACGCGCGGCCGAGGTACTCGAATACTCCACGCTGCTGGACCAGGCCGCGAAGGCCTCGGACAGTGCGGAGCGGCTCATGTACGTGACGGCCTTTGCAATCTCTCCGCTGTCGAGCAACCGCGTGCGAGAGCGCGCCATCCGGAAACCCTTTAACCCCATGCTGGGAGAGACCTACGAGCTCGTCCGGGAGGACCTCGGATTTCGATTCATCGCGGAGAAGGTCTCGCACCGTCCTGTGCAGCTAGCGTATCAGGCAGACAGCAAGGACTGGAGTCTTGCCCAATCGCCGATGCCGACGCAGAAATTCTGGGGCAAATCCGCGGAGATCATCACCGACGGGAAATTCCGGCTGACTCTTCACACGACCGGCGAGCATTTCAGCTGGTCCGCGGCATCGTCGTTCCTCCGCAACATCATCGCAGGCGAGAAGTACGTCGAACCGGTCGGCGAGATGGCGGTGCTGAATGAGACGACGGGCCAGAAGAGCGTGTCGAGCTTCAAGGCCGGCGGCATGTTCTCCGGCCGCAGCGAGGAGGTCGTCACCAAGGCGGTCGGCTCTTACAATGACGAGCTGCCGCTGGGGATGACGGGCACCTGGACCTCGTCGCTGCAGCTCACCGAGAACGGATCCGCCACGGGCACGGTGGTCTGGAAGGCCGGCCCTCTCGTGCCCAACGCGCCCAAGCACTACGGTCTGACGGCGTTCGCGGCGACTCTGAACGAGATCACGCCCATCGAGGAGAAGCGGCTGCCGGTGACGGACTCGCGGCTGCGGCCGGACCAGCGGGCGCTGGAGGACGGGGACGTGGACCGCGCGGAGCAAGTCAAGGTGCAGCTGGAGGAAGCGCAACGGGCGCGGCGGCGCGAGATGGAGGCGGCCGGCGAGAGCTGGACGCCGCGATGGTTCAAGCGGGTGGAGGACGACGTGGGCGGTGCGGATGCGGAGGACGTCTGGGCCCTGAAGGCTGGCAAGGATGGCTATTGGGAGGAGCGGGCCAGGGGAAGCTGGACGGGGGTGGTGCCCGTATTCGAGCCGTAGTTCACTATTTTGTATGTTTATTCGTCTATGATCATGTATAGACATGCATGTCGTATATAGGAAGGACATTTATATATATAATGTAAGTAGAGTTGCTCACAAATCTCGCCCTTTACTTAAAATGGCCCATGAGTTATTCAGTTCATGACCTGCAGTGTAAATCATAAAGGGATAAGATTAGATAGGCCAGCCTCGGTTGTAGCTCGATCTATCCAGACTATCCACAGCCTATCTAACAGGATTAGCTAGGCCTATGCTTACGCAGCAATCAACCTATGCTCAAGGCTTGGCCAGAAAAGACCATTACTTGGGAAAATTTGATAGAGTGAAAAGTCAAAAGTAAATCCATTCAGCTGCTGAAAAACATATCGTGTCCATTTCGTTTCTAGTCGTCGGTATCACGTCATTCGCTTGAGCGTATATACAGCTGAGATTCCAGAGCCGCTGTTCGGATATATTGCGGCATTCTCAAAATTATTGAACGAATTCGATCGAAAGTTCACGCTTCCCATAGCTTAGTCCTCGTCTGACTGATCATGAACAGCCCATCGGGGATTATTTCGGGGCTTTGCTGATTTTCTTGCGCTCGTACGATCGGATGCGGATGGTGGCGCTCGCACCATCAATGGCAAACTGTCCAGTACGGCGCGGTTGCCCTCAAAGTACTGTACCGCGAATCCGCCCTGGAGAACCCGTCGGAGAGAGTTGAGTCGAATCCACTTCCACCAACGGTCAATGCTCATGACACCTTCCTTTCCAATCTTCACGCGGACCTTGCTCCCGTAATGTCGATTCGAATCTTGGTCGATCGCTTTGTTGTACATGGGGCCGCGTCGGGGATTCTCCACTGTCGTCAAGATGGAGGCGAAATTGCTGTGCAGACTCTTCTTATCTCGCTTGCTGATGCGCTTGTTGTGCACGGTGGCCAATGATTGGAGTTGCTGTTCCAACTCATGCGTGTTATGGTACGCGTTGTAGCGTTTGATGAGCTTTGGCTCGTCCCGGTCACCGGCACCCATAAAGGACTCCTCGTCCGATTCAACTTCCTCGTCTTCGTCGTCGTTGTCGTCGTCGTCCTCCTGCGGTGTGTAGCTCTTTTCGTACAGCAGGGCGATATTCTCGCCAGCGGCTATCTGCCGCGCCGGATCATTGCTATTAAGCTGATCCATGAAGATCTGGACCGCCTCTTCGCTCTCAGCTTCTAGGTCCTCGATTTCAGTCGCGAGGTAGCCCCATTCTTGCAGGGCGGCCGTGACAGTGGCCGCATCGTCAGCGGCTTCGATTGATTGGCCATCGGAGGCAACGATATCCAGGAAAAATGTCATCTGGTCAAGAATGCTGTCTTCACCAGCACCACCAAAGCTGGTACATACCCCCAGGCAATGGATTGCGGCAGCCTTGATCACAGGGGAAGTTGAGTCCCGGATCGTGCGGGTGAGCAGCGGCTCCACATTTTCGTAGATGGTGTCGTCAAAGGCAGTGATTGCAAGAAGACTCAACGCACGAAGGGCCAGGTTTGTCTCTCGCACGCTGCTTTCAAATTTGATACTCTTGGCAAAAGCGCCCACAAGGTCAATGACGCGGGTGCGGATACGATCTTCGATGTAATGAGATTTGGCGAGACGGCAGAAGGCAGCATAGGCTTCTTCTCGGGCCAGGACGCTGCTTCGTTTGCGATCCAGGATATCTTCAACGACATCCTCAAGCTCTTCGGGCCAGTTGCTATTGGTGTCGGCATCTGGAATGTCAGCCAGGTCATCCAGGGAACCGAGGCTGTGAAGACCAAAGCATAGTTAGTTATACTCATCGACTCATAAATACAATGACATCATCCCGCCCCTAGCGGACCCTAAAAATAAGGCAGAGAAAATGAGGGAAAGATGGGAGTGGGAAAGAACGTCACCTGTATGCAGTATCGTCGCTGAGGTTACCTTCGTCCTCTTCATCGGATGGATGCCTGCTCGCGTTGCGAGACGATTGTTTCGAACTTTGAGCGGAGGCTGCTCGAGAGGGACGGCGAGAGCCTTCGCGAGAAGCGGCCTTGCGGGACATGGTCTTGCCGCTCTCAAAGATCTGACGGCGAAGGTCAGGCATGTTGAGAGATTAATGGAAGGCTCTGATTATTGATATGAGAGATAGAATGATTGAGGAATCGTATAGATAGATGAGATCGATAATCAAGTATTGTTGATGATAAGTTTCGCACTGATCAGTGGGTCGTGGATATCTTAATACTAGGGTATGGAGAGCGTTGGCAGAAAGAATGTTTTCACAAAGACGATGGACATGATAAGACTGGAAAAAGAATCCTGCAGGAAGAATAAGGGTCGAGAAAAGTCTGTTCGAAGGCTCAGTTGATGCCTGCGACGATGAAAAAAAAAAAGAGAGGAACCGAGCAAGAATGAAAGACAAGTGAAGACGTCAACGGCAAACCCTCTCTATTTGAAGGGAGCCAGTGGAAGAACAATAATACGTAACAGCCAGCCCATGCACCCTTTCAGCCGGTTCATCCCTCGAGGAGATGATTGATAAATATCCGATGCTCTTTCACATGAACTACGTGATCCCACCAATTATTTCTTATTGTTTTATCTTATTAACCAGAGGTGTTTCTGTCTTCTTCTTTTCTTTTTCTTTTCATTTTCCTTTGCCAATCGCCGAGGGTCTTATCGCCACGTGATGCGGGGTCGCTTATCGATTGACGGGCTTGACTAAAAGAGAATCTTTGAATGGTCAATGGTTCTACGTATTGAGTGTGAATAGGTCTCGTTATTGCTGATCATTTCAGGTCAGATCGTTATGATAATTCATATTCAGACTGTTCTTTTCGGTATTCTGCAGGCTGTCGTTGCCTATTGATATTCAATAGTCGGTTGTGTTTCTCGGTTACTGAGAACTGCTCTGTCCCGCAATACTGTTGCGAATAGACCGTCGTGATATGCGGATTTATTCATGAAAGGGTATCTATCATGCATGCTCTCCTGTGCTCCTGGAAAGCACTATTGTTCTCCTCATTGTTGTTCCACCACCAACGCTAGGATCCCCGAAGCTTTGTCGCCCTCGAGGTACTCCCTTCCCTCTCTCCCCCGCTCGTCCTCATCCTCATCGTCCCCGATTTCAAGATCAACCTGTAGACTGGCATCGTATGCTCTCATGACGGTTTCCTCATCCACACGTACTCCACCTTGGACCAGGACGCGAATACATTGCGCCAGGCGTGCAATCTCGCGCCGTGTCTGCGGCGGAATCTCATCGTTCTGGCTGGAATAGATAGAGCTCGACACCATTTCCTCCATGCGGGTAATGGATATATTCTCCGTCGTAGAGGATGCTGCCGCCGCGCCGTCGGCGTGCTTCGCGATCCAGATGTAACCATTCACCCCGAGTATAATGTTCACCTCGCCGCCTCCGTTCGCTGTGTTGACCGTCCACTGTTGTCTCCGGGCGCGGACCACACCGCCAGTGCCTGAGGTGCCCATCGCCCCTGCAGAGGCAGCCCCCGCACCATGACCTCCCTTCACTGTCGAACTCGAAGCTCCGCTTCCACCGGTTCCCGCAACAGCGAGGAACACGCCATTTCTAAGCTTGCCGTATTTCAATGATCGCGTGTGTAGTGATGCTGAGCCGTCTGAATGCACGCTCTGAACTTCTGCAACCACCAAGTCTCCTTCACTGAAGAAGGCTCGAATCTGCAGTTCATCCGCGCTTGTCCGCCGACGTAGGATACCGCCTGGAAGATTGATGGCAGAGAGGGGTAATTGTGCGAGTAGAGGGGCGGCGATATCGACCTTCCATCGTCGTGACTGAACCTCCACAATGCGTCCAACAACCAGATCACCGATTTCTGGGATATACCGGGCCCGCAGCGGCTGAACGGAGAGCAGTTTGTTGGTTTTCTGTACGGTACCAGCAACGGTGGCGATGATTGAAGTTGAAAGCGGATTCGAGTAGGTACCATGGCCTCTGTGAATTTGGTCAGTGACAATCCTGAACCTTCTGTGAAAGGTATCTGAAATGGGCGAAAAATCGAGCCTGAAGATCAGAAAGACCGACCTCATCCATTGTGGATCATCCGTCACAACTTCACCGGGTGTCACAATCCCTGCGCCAATCTTTGTTCCTTCCACTAAGCGGGGGCGTTTGCTGGGTCGAGAGCCTCCTCTTGAAGCCAAATCAACTCCTCCGTCTGAATCTATCGACATTGAATCGAAGTCTGAATCTGGATGGGGAGAATTGACTTCCTCCACAACGGGAGGTAGAATAGTAATTGCCATCTTCAAGCGAAAAGAATTACCAAAGGCAAGATTTGGCCTATAAAATTTAAAATGAGTATGGAGCTGAAGTTTGCTTTGAGAAGCTGTGTTCAAGCTCCAAGAGCAAAAGATTCCGCATTCGAATTGTTCAAGAGCAAACAGAACAAACTTGTTGCAAAGAGCACGTGAAAACCTGCAGCTAGAACTCAGGACCCATATACGGAGTACGAAGTAATTGAGAAATCAATACAAATTCGGCATACTTTAATAGTGAAAAGAAAATCAGTTGCCCTAGTGATATTTTCATTGTAGTTATTCATGAATCTAATTAGGCTTTTCCATCAAGGTTCATTTCATACCCTCGCCAGTCAATATTGATGAGAAAAAAAAAGAAAGAGAATGATAAGACAGCAATGAAAAGAATTAAGGTAGTATGGCCGAATGATGATGCACAATTGTCAAGCTTGTCAAATTACGAGACACCTTGCGAGAGACAGCCATGCCTGTCAAACTGGGAACAACATAAGAAATAAAGCGCAGTGCTGACAGTCCTCAGTAGGCAGCTTGTCCTGCATGGTCTGCGCGAAGCATGCCCTAGAATCCCCGGATGATTCAGGACGTGAGAAGGAGGAATGAGAAACATATTAGTACATAGAAGGGAGATCAATGCTTCGACCAGAGGAACCAGGTCTTCAGGCACCCACACCTGAAGACCTTTTCGATGTGCGTTTGGCATTCGAGTTCGTGTCGTCCTTCTTTTTCTTGCTGGGACGGCTGCTACCACCCTTGGGCCTGTAGCCCGTATCGTCATCGCGCTTGCGCTTGCCTTTGGTGCTACCCGGAGTGGGACCGGTATCCATCAGGATGCCGTCTTCGTCGTAAGCCTCCTCCTCTTTGCGTGGCTGGGTTGCCCTTTTGGACGCTCGCACATTAGTCGGTCGAGAGCCTGACTTCTCGGAGGCGTTCTCATTGTCCTGTAGGAAAATATGTGGTTGATTGCGCCGGAGCCAGTTGTAAACGGAGACAGGGTTTCGTAGCGCTAATTCCCTTTCTCGCTCAGAAAATGATGGCTTTTCGGGAATGCGACTAAGCTCGAGGGCGGCCGCTTCGTCGCCGAGCTTTGCATCCATACTCAAGTAGTACTCGGTCTCGTGTTCGGGAGTAAGATATCCCAGCTTCTCCTCCAGGCTGATATCCGTAGAAGAATCGTGTCTCACGGGCGGCACTCCCGTATGAGGTACCTTCTTGAGGGTAGTGTAATGCATATGTGGTGCAAATGCGTTGCCTCGTTTGATATCGTCTTCCAGAGTGCGATATGCTTCGAGTGTCATGCTGCCAGCAGCCATCTGTGCTTCGGCATCTTTCAAAATGGATCTTGCCTTGGCAGAGTCAATGGACATCGGCGATCGTTCAGGCGTGGGCAGGAAGGAGGAGTCTCCCGGTGCACTGAGATCATATCGCTGATTCGCTGGGATGTGCAAACTTTCGTTAAATTCAAGGAGAACCTCTAGAAGTTGGCTGTGGCAGAAGAGTCAGTCCTCGAACGAGCCTATATCCTTCCATACACCTGCAGATCTTCGCTTACTCATTCTGCTCCTGGATTCTCTTCGAGAGATCCTCGATGCGCAATTCTTCGCGGATCAGAGATTCGCTCTCCTTCATCCCAAGCTCGAATTTGACTTTAAGTTTGGCATACTTCTTTCTGTAGCACCAGGGGGTAGCCATATTAGTTCTCATATCCATGACTGATGTTGCGCACTGAAAGACCTACTTGAAAGAACGATATGACTGTTTCGTAGGGGCACTGATTGCTTCGTCTGGCAGGCTTTCAGCCACAGAGCGGGAATCCTCGTTTTCTTGTGACATGTCGAATCGAAATTGATGCGGATATGCGTATTCAACGGAGTGGTTCAGATGAGAGATCGATGGTTGATAATGAAATGGCGGGTGTCAAAAGAGAGCTCTGAAGGCGAAGCGATTGATTGTGTTGAAGATGGCTGGTCACGTTTGAGTCGAGCTGTGGTTTCGCGCTGTCGCCAAGTCCGAAGTCCGCAATAGAAGATTGTTGCGTCGGCGGGTGTTTTTGCCCGCCGTAAAAAGTTTCAATTCTCTCTGCCGATACATAGCAAGGACAATAGCTAAATGCGCTTATTTGACTAGACCGGTCAAGACAAGTTTCTATTGTGATTCGCTATTGTACGATCTCATTATTCTATTAATTGAAGCGGGCCACTCTCTAAGAACGATTATTGGGTCATTGACGAACCTGATATCGATCCGATATGGCTGGTCTCGGTGAAGGTAGTCAAAAAAAGCGAAAGCTCACAGACGTTCCCGAAATTGAAATCGACGTGTCCGCCCCCGAGCCTCCGTCGAAGAAAGCTCTGCGTAAAGCCAAAAAGAAGGTTGCCGAGCCTACGGCAGATTCTACAACGAAGGAAGAGGCCGCTGTGCCCAGCAAAGAACAAGATGCCTCGCAGAAACGTTCGGACTACGGCATCTGGATTGGAAACCTGGCCTTTTCTGTAACCAAAGATGATCTGCGCAAGTTTCTCATAAGCAATTGCACTTTTGCGGATACTACAATCACCCGTATACATCTGCCCAAGGGCCAAGAAAAATTTGGAAAGGCTCAGAACAAGGGCTTCGCTTACATCGATCTTGCCAACGACAAAGCTGTGAAGGAGGCAGTAGGGCTGAGCGAGCAACTTCTAGCTGGGCGCCGTGTGCTGATCAAGGATGCGAAGAGTTTTGACGGCAGACCAAAAAAGTCAGAACAGGAGGGACCATCTACAAAACCTCCTTCGAAACGGATATTCGTTGGCAATCTCGGCTTTGATGCTACAAAAGAGACAATCGAGGAACATTTTGGACAATGCGGTACCGTCACGCATGTACATGTGGCAACGTTTCAGGATACTGGAAAATGCAAGGGCTATGCTTGGGTGGAGTTCGAGGATCTTGCTGCCGCCGAAGCAGCGGTGAAGGGCTTTATGATGGTTGACGAAGACGAGGAAGATGACGAGGGCTCCGGAGAGGAAGAGTCCGGAAAGAGCAGGAAGTCGAAGAAACCCAGACAGAGGAGGGTTTGGGTGAACCAGCTTCTTGGTCGACGAATGCGCATGGAGTTCGCGGAGGATGCGACGACACGGTACAAGAAGCGGTTCGGTAAAGACGGGGAAGGCAAAAGGAACGATGAATCGGCCATTACTGAAGTGGAAGATGGGCGTCCCGAGCAGGAGTCGACCGGAGACAAGCCGCAACGGTCACGGTCTGAAAAGCCCAAGCGAAGCAAGCCTGAATACTCAAGATACGACAAGGAAACCGTGCAGAAGCTGAGCGGTGCTATTGTCGAACCCCAAGGAAAGAAAATCACTTTTGATTGAGACTTGTCGGTATAAACTGTTTATAACGGGAGCAGAATGGCGCATACCCATCATTCATATGCTACGCTCAAGCTCTTCAGTCAAGTAAGGTAGTGACTGACATTCAACTACTTTTTCCTTGCGAGTCATTTAAGAACTTTCTTTTATTGCAGTAAATATTGGATGGGAATGATTCTATAACAGACAGCCATACTACTGGTTAGCATGAGTGTTTTTACTTTGTAGCTAGCATTTAAACTGAGTGATAGGTAGGCATAAACAAGCTACTAGTATGACCTCTTTGGAGCTAGAATACATAGCTTGCATTAGCTCTTCACGTAAACATTCAACACTGATACTTTCAACTACATAAATAAGGTAGTAACAATTTCTTTTCAAAGGGGTATGAATAATGATGACTTATCAGATCGCCATACTCAAGCTAATTAGCTATTATTATTATTATTATTATTATGTGTCAGTTTGATGCTAGTTCTAGAATCGCTGAGGTGGTTTTGGAGGCGCTAACCAGATTGGGATAGTTGCCATCGCTCTTCGATGTCATGGCTCATGCTGGAAGCCATCAACTTTGATAGTGCTCGTCTTGTTGCATTTCCCTCGACTGCCCAACCCGTCCCACACTCCTCGCCCTCGTTCTCGAGGTGCATCTTCCTTCATCGCCCATCGATCTTTCGACGTTCACTCCCCTCTCATCATACACGTGTTCGAGTTTTTGCCGCTTCTGTTGATCATTCCCGCCCCCCGCTCCTTGCAATCCGATCGTCTCGCCGCACTTCGTTCCTGGTCGGTGCATCCTTCATCCTTATCTCAATCCTCCTCCCAAATTACCGTGACACAAAGGAACATCGCATCCGGTGTTCAATCCTATCCCTTGTTTCCATCTCTTACGCCAACCAAAAATGGTCTCACGTCGTCGCAACATCGGTGCTAGCCGGCGGAGGAGAAGAGAAGAGGAAGGCGAGGACGAAGGTTCCCTAGATGGAGAATTGGAAGATGATTCGTTAAGCGAGGGCTCAGTCATCAGTCATCCGGATGATGATGATGATGCCGATGGCGAGGGAAGCGACGAGAGCGACGAGGAGGTTTCTTCGTCCCCGCACATGGACAGAACCAACGGACCTCAGGTCAACGGTCTTGTGCCCGAAATCAACCAGCGGTCTGGACGACGCCATTCCTCATCTCCTGCCAAACGACACACAGCTATCGCTGTGTCAGACACTGAGGCCATGATGAATGGAATGACACTGTCTGATCAGACGAATGAAGTGGCGGAAATCCACTTTGATGATCTGAAGGGGGAGTCTGGTCCACTGACAGGAAGGACGCCATCTGCACCTCCCACAGAAGCGAAAAGAGGGACTCTTGCGGAGCGAAAACGCCGCGAACACGAAAGGTATGCAAAGGAGCGGGATGAGAATCCGGCCTTCGTGCCCACTCGAGGAAGCTTTTTTCTTCACGATAAGCGTTCAACCGAGTCTGGTTCGAATGGCCATAGGCCGTTTAACAAGTCAAAATCGAGACCGTATGGCCTCATCGTGGATGGCAATGTTCGCAGGTGAGCCTTCCCCAACTCTTTGTCATGTACTCCCGGTAGCTAACCGCTCTCAAGGCACTCCAAACCTGATGCTAGTGAAGGGCAGTGGACGCATGATCTGCACGAGATGGTCGCAGGAGATGAACCCGTCAACAAGTCTTCTGCTGCACTAGGATCCATGTCGAGCTTTGCCCCGAAGCCTGTCCCTACGGCTCCTCGGTCTGCGCCCCCGAATAGGTCTTTCTCGAGCACCACCCTGATCGGCAATGTGCCTGTTGTAGTGTTTCTGCAAGGCATGGCTCGGCCCATACCTTTTCCAGCCGTTCCAAAGAAGCAACACACTCGTCTCCCTCAACATCGTCCTCCGCTGCGTCGAGATAAGCCCGTGCGCATATCGTTCCCTGGACAGTCTCCGAGGTACATATTCCCTTCGACAGAGCGCTCTTTCATCTTCATTCCACGAGCCTTGAGGCCAAATCAACAGGGTTACCGTGGCAGGGGCCGGGGTGGATTCTATGGCGGACGCCGTCCGAGCATTTATGCAGGCTCCGTCTACACCCCAAGCGTCACCGTTAGCCGGAGATCGTCGATGGGCAAGCCAGCCTCTCATGATGGATATCCCTCGCCGGCCGCATCTGTGTTGTCAAGACATACGGTGGTTACGACCGAAAATGGGAAGCCGGTCGTTCGTCTGCCTCCGCCTTCTAGGCCATTAGGCGGCGTGCCACCGGCAGCCGCTGCTGCTGGTCCCGGAGCCGTTGTTACCGCGCCACTGCCACCACCTATGCCTCAACCTCAACCTCAGCAACCCTCGTACCGCGAGAGCCGTGTGGCTCCCATCCCGATGCATCAGCCTCGTCCTCAGAAAGCGGTTTCTGTCGCCGATATAGAGACTCCTGCAAGCTTCTCCTTCAACGCCCCCCAGCCACAGCAGGAACAACCATTCCAACACCAAGTCCCTATGCCTATCAATGGCCCCGGCTATGGTGCCGATGCTCAATCTGCCCATGCAGCCGGGACGCCTTCGTCGCACATACCCGAGCGAGCAATCCATGCTCAACCTTTCCAACCATACGGCTTCCAACAAGCCCAGCCATTTTATCCTACCGCTTACCCCCCCGGTACAGTATACTATCCAGTGTCTGGAACAGAATTTCCACCGTACAACGCCGCTGGAATGCCAGGAGCCTCCGTTGTACCGTATCCTCCACCGGGACAGCAAGCTCCATATGTGGTTCCAGGTGCCCACGCCTCATCCGCAGAGCAGCCTTCGCAACCAGGCACAGTCGCGCATGAGGCTGGTGGCACAGTTTACTTCTACGACGCCTCGCAGATGTGGCCTAACGCATCGTATGCCACGCCCTCTGCGCCGGGGCCTGGTGGCGTCATTGGCATGGGTGGAATGATGACTCCTCCAGGCACAACCTACTATTATCCTCAGACGCAGGGTGGTGTATACTACGCTCCGCAATGAAAAAAAAAGAGCATTTTCAAAGTTTTTCTTTCGCCACTTTTCGATACCTTAAAAAAAATTCGTACCTTATCATCTTCGTTATCTTCTCTTGCCTTTCTTTTGCCGTTCCCATCCACACATTTCTCGTCCTGCGCTTTAGTCTCACTGTGATGCCATGCGATTGATAATTCCCAACACTTATGATGTCGACTACGGGAGTCTCGTCCGCTATCCTTACTCGTTCTTTTCAGCTCCGCTTTTCACTTTACTGTCTCGTCATCATGTTTCCTGTCTGATGAAACACTCCATGATGCCATTTCCTTGAGCTTTTATATGGATTGTTATTAGATAAGCCACCCTTGCATCCTTAGCGATCGTCTTCTCATCATTGTGGTGCCAACTTCCTGTGGCCGGAAGCTCTCATGTTCTGTACGCATTTTTCCTGCTTATTATCTGGAAAGCGATGTGGCATTGACTTTCCCCTTCTCCGTGCTGTTCCATCCTCCCTTCGTGGAGTGTTGACATTTTTCTTTTCTCCATATTCCTTTGAAGGGCGATCCTGGAAAACTTCGAACATGTACTTTTTTCCCACATTTTGACCTGCATGGGTCTTTCGATAATTCCCACTCTTGTCTTCTTGTTGTCAGTGGTTTGTTCCGCCGTTCGCTGCGCTCTAGCATTTAGGAATGGTGTTTGCGTTGTGGCGTGGGCAATAAATTCAAATATGAAGGGAAACAACCTGTCTGATCAGCTTCTTCTTGTCCTCTTGGGGCTGTAGAAAGGATTCGGTGCGTTGCATAAAATTATGACTAATTTCAAGAATTGACAAGATAGGATGGTGTCGTAGTTACATAGTACAGCACGTCGATATCTTCCAGTGAGCATCACGCACTATTCGGAAAGACAAAGGATGAATCCATACTGCGAATCCAGAGGGGGGAAATAAGGTAGCCAAGTATACATATACATATACAATAATAATAATAATGACGATGATGATGACAACAATAGAATCTGACTGTGTCCCCTGCAAGTATGCGAAGTACTGAGTGGTGACGGTACCAATGAGAATGGCGATAACGATGTGAGCTTCACCGCCTCCTCCTCTCCTCCACTTAACTACTGTGAGGTAAAGCCTCCCCCGGAAAGCCGTTTGTAGAGCAGCAGATGACCTTAGGTACTCTGTAACTGTACCGTACTCCGCATCTCTACCTACCTACTTTACTGGTATGATGGTATCATACGCAACCCCAGGCAGCCTACTACCATACCTTACCTTTACCTCACTTTATTACCTCTCTCTCCTCTCCTCTCGGTTCTCTTCCTCTTCTCTCCATCATCTTGTCTCTGCCTCTATCTATTTAGCCCAATAGTCTACCATATCTGACTTCATCCATCATACTCTTCATCATCCTCATCAACTTCTCATCCTTTTCTTTCATCATCTTGCTTCTCACAACCTCCTATCTTCGATCCCTGCTCATCATCTCTTACGTAGGTGACTAGTGCCTTATCTCTAGTCCACCTTCGTCACCTTCCTCACCTTCGTCCTCTGTCTACACCATGTCTACCCCCATTCCACCGGCTAGTCCAGTCGGACCTGCAACCCTAATCACAATCAAAGTGCTCTATAATGACAGCACTCGACGCTTCAAGGTTCCTCTGAGAGAACTAGGTGCTCGTGTTCTTCCCCAGAAGGTATGTGGATGGTCTCCACCCTAGCTAGCTCCGGTCGGAGCTTCAACCACTCCCCCATCAAGCACCCTCGAGTTCTTGCCGACCACCGTTGGCAAGCTTTCTACCCTGTGCAGCCATGAAATCCTATCCTATTAGTTTTCTTCATTATATCTGGAGAATACGCAGAAAAGAACTGCTATCTCATTTTTTAGTTTTGTACGATGCTAATGAGCTCGCTTGATCTAGCTCCGTCAACTTATTGGCGTCCCAGCGGACAGCAACGTCATCTTTGAACGCTACTCGGACAGCGCCGGTTGCTATGTCCGCTTAGACAGC